AGAGCCGGGAGGCAGAGCCTGCCCCGCGGGGGGATGCTCACCTCTGGTTTAACACAATGCAGTGGGGTTCAGCCGGATCACCCCGGTGTTAACCTCCCAGAGACGTTCCTTTGCTGAGCTCTGAGGATACCAGGATTTTATCCAAAGGGTCAGGTCGCAGCTGAACTGGTGATTTCCTTTTTACCCATGGAAGAAAACAGCCTAGCAAAGTGCTGCTTTGCCTCGGTGGCCAAACTAAACCAGGGAGCGTGTATCCAACCCAATTACCTGCCCCCAGATGAGTTTTATTTCTGGGTTCTCTTTTCCCCCACCTCACATGGCAGGGAGATCACGATCCAGATCTATCATTTCATTCCTGTGCATTCAAACAGCATAAACTTTATGAATGTGAAAGTTGTCAGGGTAACAGCACTCCACCTCGCTCACTGCAACTTCCCAGCACCAGAGATGGAAAAAAGACTTCCCTCTATTGCAAACCAAGAGCAGTGGGACTTAGTAGGAAGTAAACACTGTTTTGAAAATCAAATTATTACTCTGGAAACATTCTGCATGTTAGAAAAGGCAAGAGGTATAAAACACAGTAAGGAAGAACTCTGAATAATCAGGATTTGGCTGGGCAAAGCCTACGTACCTTTTTATTAAATGAGCTCTGCTGTTCACGTAGTTGGAATCAAAGGAGTAGTTTTCAGTCTGGAAGGAGGGAAAGAAAAGGGAGATGGTTACAAGTCTGGTTTCCCCATGACTGGGAATAGCAGGGGCAGGACAAAAGCCAGCACACCCCACAGGAGGCAAGGAGCATCCTGGCACAGGACAGGTCCAGCGAGCGGGATGGAGCCAGGCACGGAATCCTCCCATCCCTGTTGGGTCTATCCAACACAAAAAGTCTGGCTGGTGACCACAGACCAATTTGCAGAGAAGAAACAATGTGACTACGCTGTGTTACAAAACTAATTGCTTTTAATTCCCTGATGGACCCTGTTCTGTGTGTGTCAATTTGACTGGAAGTTCAAAAGGTATTTTTCTTATTAGTGTATAATTAACGTGTTAAAATATTTATTGCATAGATATGTAAATGCCAGGAAGGTAATCCCCTGCCGGGGAATTTCATGCGGGCACTTTTCTTTGTTCTACATCATTTCATTTGCAGAGACAGTGGGCTCTGTTAGTAATAAAAGAGCAAACAATGGGTGACATGCTTAAAAGTTGGAGGAGAGTGAAAGCAGGGCAGAGAAGTCAATGGATCTGTCATTTGCAAGCAAACCCCACTAACATGCATTGCTCTTATAACCTCACGTTACACAGCCCTGGATTTCTGGTGCTCAGAGCAGATAGAGAACCAAAAAAAGCAATGAGAAGGTAGGGAAGAGAAGAGAATGTCAATGCTCAGGAGGTCATGGTGGGAGCTGTGCAGTGGGATGCAGTGGTAGGTGCATGATAAGAGTGCAGTGGGAGATACATGGTTGGAGGTGATGGGAGATGCATGGTAGGGTACGCATGGTAGGATGAGGTGGGAAATGCATGGTAGGAGGTGGTGGGAGATGCATGGTAGAAGGTGAGGGGAGATGCACCATAGGAGGTGGTAGGAGATGCATGATAAGAAATGCATGGTAGGAGATGATGGGAGATGCATGGCCAGAAGTGATGGAAGATGCATGACAAGTCACACTGGAAGCCATGTGGTGGGACACGGTGGGATCTGCATGTCCTGGCCAGGATCCTTCCTGGATTTCAGGGCCCCACAAGGATGCAGGTCTCTTTCTACAAGTCAGGCATTCCAGTCCATCCATTCATCCATCCAAAGCACCCCCAGATCCGCAGGGACCCCACCTAGGCTCCCACCAGCATCACCCCTGGACCAGAGGATGCTCCTTGTCCCCACTAGGCCCCCTGGGTAGCATAAGGGGTAAAATCTCCTCTGCTCCCTTCCTCTGGGCTGAGAGGACACAACTGGGGACAGGCACCTTCCCCACAGCCCTGTTCTGCCTCCTCTGTGCTGCAGCTCCTCCTCATTCCAGCCCCACGACCACTCTCCTTCCCAAAGAGCCGCTCCGGGATACTATGGCCTGTTTTTCTGGCAATTATGAACCTGATAAAAATAAATGCATGCATCTTTAATGTCTCAATAAATAAAGGCAAGCAGAGTCTGCTGCTAACGTAATCAGAACGGCAGGATGCAGGGAGCGGGGCTGCCGCAGCCGAGCCCAATGTGAAATCCAATCGTATCCCGGCAGAGGTTACACTGCCCTGCCAAGATAATAAAGCAAAGGCAGTGCTGGTTAAGTGTAACCTTTGCTGGAATAGAGCACAATGTCTAATTTACCAAACAGGAACCTCCCAGAGAGAAACACGCGAGGAGCTGCGAGCCGGGGGAGCCAGCACAGCTCTGTTATTACTTTCACACTGTAATTACTGCTGGAGAGTCACACAGGAGATTTACTGCACAGCCACCGGTCCCTGCAGCTCCTGCATCCGTGGTCCTGCAGGATGGCTTTGATGGGTAGAGCTCGGGAGCAGACACACACAGGTGTTTTTAAACACACCATGCCCAAGGCTTTGAATGCCACAGACAGTGTCTGATCTGGATAAACATCCATCAGTCCTGGTGCTGCCACCCCAAGAGGAGGGATGCCAGCTCACAGCATCCCCCCACAGCAGCCCCACGGGACATGCCAGCCCTGCAAATGGGCTTTGAGGGCAGCTGAGTGATGGAGGGGTCGGAGCAATCCCTGCTTGGTGGGCAGCCCCCTCCATCACACTGTGCTGGTGGACACAGGAATGGCTCCAGAAAGCCCAGAGCCTCAGCTGGCTCTGTCCCCCTGTCCCCAGACCCACTGCTGTGCCCAGCAGCAGCCTGAGACCCGCTGTACCCACCACCACCTCCATCAGCTTCATCCCGATGCGTGCACATCTCAGCCCTGGGAAAGCCAGGAGGGAGGACCCAGGGAGCAATCCCCATATATACAGGTACATCACAAAGCTTGGAAGTGCTCAGAGCACTGATGCCACATGGACCAGGGTTGAGGGGTCAGTGGATACCCAGGGCCATACATAAGGAATGCTTGACCAGTGCCACTGAAACCCCACCAAAGGCTGAGGAAACACCCCACATGCTGCCGTTGCGTGTCCTTTGGCAGCCCAGCTCCAGACCTCACTCTAAATCCCCTCTGACCAACATCACTGTGAGCTTTGCTATTGATTTCTGACCAAAAAAAAGATGCCCAAATCCTGGCGCAACTGAAATCATTCACCAACAGCAAATACAGTTGATTGACTGGAGTAATGTCCTTCCCATGCGGATTCCCTGCTCCACGTGTCCCCTTGCCTGGGATGTTCTGCACCACATCACTAACACAACGCACAGCTCCAAGTCCACACAGGGGTTCCCGCGGGGTTGATCCCAGCATCCGTTCCCAGGCTTCAACTCCCCCCGTGCCACCACGAGCAGGACAACTAATGCTAATTACTTCCAGATTTTGGACAAACCAAGGAATGAGCCAGCCACAGGGATGGGAAACGTGCTTCCCTGGGCTGGGGGTTTGCACCCTGGGTGAGAGCTGCCCGCCCTGCCCACACCAGGTGCCCCACAGCTCATGAGACCTCTCCTCAGCCATGGGATTACCTATCAAGGTTATCTCCATGCAGGCTAAAGGATCAAACCAGACCAAGAATAAACAAGAAATGAGGTTTTTCATGGAGAAGGGCTGCTTTCTAGCTTCTATTATTCAGTTGAAGCTCACTTCATTTAATTCCAGTTCCTCCTGCGCAGCGCAATCACTTACAAACAGAGGCAAAGCGACGGGAAGGAGATGTCAACATTTCCGACGTGTCAACATTTTAATTGGGAAAGGAGCTGCTCCCACTCTTAATGAGGCCCGAAGAACAAAGTCAAAGCACAGAAAAGAGGGAAAATGTTAGGCTGAGGAACGCGTGCTCTTCAGAAAGCATCATCGGGAGGCCAGCCCTCATCTTCTCCATCATTTTGGCAAAAGCAAACAAACCATTACTTCCCCAGCGTCGCTTCTGTAGGAATCAAAGTGGAGCCCAGCCTCCAGCCCAGCCTCTCCTTTCCATGTCCAGAGATGGGTATGGCAAGGACCTCCCAAATGGCACTGCCAGTGCTCATAAAGGATGCTCATGCTTGTCAGGAGCAGCCCCTCGGCCCCAACGATGCGATCAATGCATCAGGAACAGCGCCCAGCATCAAGTCTGTGCTCTCAGCCTGCACTTCCCTTGGAGGAGACGTGGGAAATGTCCTCTGGGCTTGGGATTTGCTTTCCAGACACAGGCACCATGGTGTCAATGCCATCAAAGCCAGAGCCCTGGCTCGGCACACAGCTTACCAGGGCCTAATGTGAAAAATGCTTTTAACTGCTGCCTTAGCAACACAAATACAAATATAACAACAGACACGCTTGGAATGGAGCAATCAGCAGGGAAATTTTAAACTTGCCTTTTTTTTCCCTCCCCCAGCTGTTGCTTTCAGTTGAGGATTGCCAATTCCATTAGATTAGGGGAAAAAAGGATGTACAAACCTCAGTGCAACTCTTCCTGACCTGTACGTCGGGAGGGGGATAACTTCACTGTTAGCAAAAGGTCTGTTAGCAACAGGCTGCTGCTCTAACGACTGCTCACTCTCTGCCTTAGAAACAGAAAGAAACCCCTGAGGATCCAAAGGATGTTTAAAGGGAATTATTGCAGGTGCCAGCAGAAAGGTCAGTGGGCTGTGGGGACTCCAGGCATGACCAGGGCTGTGGGATGATGGAGAATAGAGGATGCAGGCTGGGGTCGGTCCCCAGGGCAGGGTGAGATGTGTCCCTGCCCAGGAGCTGTCTCTTTCTCACTCTTCCCTCTTTTTCAGCTATTCCAAACGCGGTTTCTTCCCAAACCAAACTCTGTGGAGATGAAAACCCAGCTTTCCTTGCTGTGTCCGGGTCCAGGCTCTTGACGGTCCACACATCAGCCCCCAGCAAAGTCCATGGTTGTTGGAAGCTGGACGCATGTCTGCTGACCCGAAGTGACAGGTATCCATCCCTGCGCCAGCCTCCGCCTTGGTAGACGAGTCTAAAGCATCTCACACAGTGGGTTTTGCCCTTCTTCTCACTTCAGGGTGAAAACACTTCTATCTTCCTACTAATTATTGTAAACCTGCTGCAACCTCCTGCCAAAGCATGTAGGGACCCTTCACACAATCAGCTTCATAAAAATGACACATTTAGCGCCACTTTTTCAGGGTTATCCCTTGAGCCTTTTCTTTCCCCCCTCTGTGCCTTGTTAATAAAGCTGGAATGTCACCCCTTATTATTAAAAACCAAAGCAGACCTTTCTCCAAGGCTGCAATGTGCATCTCTCCTTTTGGGTTTCAGAAAATCCTCCCGAAACATGCAACGACTCCTTATCTCTGCATCAAGCTGCATGTCTTCACCAGGAACACCAGGCTCCTGACCTTCCCTCCGTGCTGCAGGCATCACAGGGGACCACAGAAATGGCACATCCTTCCCCAAAATCCACTGGGCTTCCCCGGTGGGAAGAGCAGGACTTGTTAGACCTCTTCTCCTGTGTCCTCGGTCCTGTTCTCCATGGGCCACCCAATCACAGCTCCAGCATCTGCAATAAAACTGTTGCTGCCTGTTAGGAGAACTCGCCAGCACTTCATTCTTACGGTTTGAACTATATTGCAGGTGATAGAGAAT